AAGGAGGACCTATTCGATTTCGGTTATTTGTGTTATAATTTTAAACAAAATTAGAAATCTAAAAGAACGAAGTCATACACAGTAGCACATCAAGAAACCATGAAATGTTTATTTATTTATTTATTTATTTATTTACTCAAGGCACGTCAACATCACAAATACAAAAATAATCAGTAAACCTTTTAAATGACACTTATCTAGCATTTATGACAATTACAGACATGCACAGCATTTGTATTAAGATATCCATATGCGTTTACATTTCAATATTTATTTAGCTACAATACAATTATAATTATATACAATACAATACAATTATACAACACAATTACAATTATAACTACATAATAATAAACTACAGTTACAAGACATAGGCGTCAATTAATATATTATACTACAAAAATACAACAGTGATACACATTACAAAACAACAAATAACAAATTAAATTCAAAAGTCAATTATTATATATCCAATGTCAAAAATAATCAGCTTATATGTTATTATCAATAAATTAAAATTAAAATAAAACATTAATTCTTTACTTTAAGGACGATGTGTATGCAGTATTTTGTCTTTATAGTGTCGAAAACTGTCGTGGAAGATATCGAGATCAAAAATTCTATGCCAACTATTATACGAGCTTAACAGCCTTGGCACAGGGGCACATCTACCCACATTGGTTCTACTTACTGGAACACTAAAGAAGGACCTTGAAGTCGGGCGACGAGAATTTATACGCGGTACACTTATGTTGGTCTGATCCAGCACCTCTTGGCACCTCAACCCACCATTAAAGGCCTTATGTAAAAATGTTAGATCCAACATCCGCCTACGATGAGCTAAAGTATCCATCGAAAAATAACTGAGTCTGTCCTCATAGGGACACCTTCTGTTGAGACTAGGAGTTACATGTGCCAAGTGTCTAGTAAAAGACCGTTGAATAGACTCTAAACGAGTTGAGTGTACCTCATATATAGGATTCCATATAACGCTTGCAAACTCTAATGAACTACGCACCAAAGTATTAAATAGTAGGATTTTACAGTCCGTTCGGCGAAATGTCTTAGTATTGCGTCTAATGAACCCCAACGTTTTAGCTGCCTTCGAAACAATGGTGTTATAGTGAGGAATGAAAGATAACCGACAATCCAATACAACGCCCAGATCACGGACCTGAGAAACTGTATCAATAACATCACAACCTATTCTGTAAGCCGAATTGACAGTGTTTATCTTTTTTTTTTGAAAAGGTTATATGTTTGCATTTTGACGCATTTAGAGATAAATGATTTTTGCCACACCAGATCTGAATTCGGTCTAAGTCAGACTGCAGTAATTCAGCGTCGTCCGATTTTTCAATAGTCCGGAAAATCTTCATATCATCAGCAAACAACGAACACTGACTATGAAAAACACAGGAAACGATGTCATTGATGAAAAGAAGGAATAATATAGGTCCCAGATGCGAACCCTGCGGTACACCCGAAGATGCCGTGTACACTTGAGACTCGTAGCCTCTGATTATAACTGTTTGTTTTCGATGTTCGAGATAAGATCTAAACCAATTCTGCAATGTCCCACAAATTCCATACTGGTGATATAACTTGTAAATAAGAATATCATGATTTACCAGATCAAACGCACTCGTAAAGTCGATGTAAACGGCATCAACCTGCTCACCCCTATCCACCGATTCCATAACCCGAGTCATGTAAGAAGAAAGGTTTGTGACCACAGACTTTCCACTCCGAAAACCATGTTGCTCGCTAACTATCTGTTTTTTTGTATGACTGACTATAACCGGACAGACGACAGCCTCAAAGACCTTCGAAAACGTCGAAAGAAGGGATATAGGCCTATAATTTTTTACATTGTCGTGATCACCTTTCTTATGTACGGGTGTCACTCGAGCACTTTTCCAGACAGTGGGAAATTTTCCAGAGGACAGTGATTTATTAAAAATTTCCTTTAGTGGATATGATAAATATCGTGCACATTTTTTCGCAAAGAGTGGAGGGATACCGTCAGGCCCCGCAGCTTTATTGGGATCAAGATTCTTTAAATGCTTAAGCACAGTTTTTTCGTCTATTGTAATTTGATGGAGGTTAGAAGAGTCAGGGAAGTAGTCAAAACCATTAATTGTGTCTGGATCACCTAGTAAGAGATGTTTATCGTAAACTGATGAAAAATGACAAGCAAAGAGACCAGCAACACCTGGTCCACCTGAAGCAGATTTCTGGTGACTTTTGTCACTATATACAACAGATGGAACTGCACTCGCTCCACCCTTACTTTTCACAAATGCCCAAAAAACTTTGGGGTTTTTTTTTATGCTGCATTCAACATTTGCAATGTAGTCCTTGTAACAAGTATTGACATAAGCATCACACCGCTTCCTTATCAATTGAAAATCTAATCTGTCGCGGGGGTTATTATATTTACGGATCTTTAATCTTAATCTTTCCTTCTCTTTAAGGAGCTGAATCAAGTTTTTTGTGAACCAAGGTGGGTATCGCGCCCCACGAGGTCTGCGCCTCGGAACGTGTTGCCCTATTATAGAATTTATTTGGTCATAAAACACTGCGACCATATCATCAACACAGAAACATTCGCTCAGAATTTGAGCCCAATTCAAACAACTCAACGTGTAAATAATCTCATTAAAATCAGCCTTAAAGAAATTAAAGTCATTGCGTGGAACATAGTTTAGTTTTTGACTACTTTTGCTCATATATACGGTAATCTCAAGCTGAGGATGTAAGTTATCTAATCTACTAATAATCACGTTAGGTTTATCAACCTTACAAAAGATATTTGTTATAACTAGGTCTAAAATTCTGTTCTGACTATTGCAAATTGAATTCATTTGGTTAAGGTTTGATAAGGACATAAAATCAATCAAAGAATAGCCCAGATTATTTTGATAGTTTTCGGCGTGCAACACACCGTCAGAGTTGACGTCCGTCCAGGACATGAAACCCATGTTGAAATCACCGATCAACATAACGTCATCGTATTCACACATCATATCTGTAGCATTTTGCAGAAAACGTTGTAGACCAAGCAAGCGAACCGGAGGTGGCAAGTAAACGCAACAAACAGCTATTTTCTTGGGGGATCTATCGCCTGCATCAATTGATATCCATAAGTCCTCACAGTCAGTTTCCCTGTCCTTAAGACGCATGCTGGTGATTTTTTTTAAAACGGCAATTAATACACCTCCTCCGTCTTTTTTCGCACCACATTCAGAGTATTTCCTGTCACGACGATAAACAATATACCTGTCATCTATAAATTCACCATTATTAATGTTTTCATTCAGCCAGGTTTCGGTGAACAGTATCATGTCGTAATTATTACGCAATACATTTAAATAAATATCATTCGTTTTCGTGCGCATCCCTCGTACATTCTGATAGTAAATTGTGAATTTTATAGCAAATTAATACTATCACTGCAGGAGTCTCATAAAATCACGCCAGTGATTTTAAACATTCAAAACTATGCACTTGTTTTGCAGAAGAAGTTTCGGTTTTTCTTACGTAAATTTTTCCATTGCGAATCCATGTGAATCTATACGACAACTCTTTCGCTTTAATCCTAGTAGCTGCATGGAGAGATTTTTTTTCTGGTGATAGATGTTCACTTATGTATAGTTGTTGCTTAGTACCACCCATACCGATTAGATTCGTATTTAATTTATCCAGCTTGTTTTTCTTGTTGTAGTTCGATACTGCAGCGAGCAGTGCGTCACGACATCGGTTACTACGAAATTTAACTACAACAGTTCGAGGGCGGGTACTATCGTTGTTTGCCTTAGCTACTCGAAAACAAGACATAATGTCCCCATCTTCCATGGTTTGCGAGACAACTTTGCCAATTTGCATCACAGTTTGAGCAATATTTTCTGTTCTATGTTCAGGCAGTCCATGTATTTCAATGTTGTTCTCACGTCCATGTTGCTCTAAAGTCGAAACCCGTTTACTTAAATTTGATACTGTTGTCTGTAATTTCTCATTGCAATCTCTAAGTTTCTTGTTTTCTTCTTCACGCGATTTCAGTAGACCATGAACATCATCGTATTTTTTGTTTAAAAACTCCACAGAAGACGTCAGCTCCGCTATTTGATCACTTAATGTTTTAAGTTCAGATAACAACATTTTTTTCAGTAACTCAGGCAATGTTCAAATGTTCAATTTAAACATTTTATCCTGTTATTTAGGTTAAAAAAAAAGCCTCGCTAGTACCGTGATTAGAAAGTCCGATCTGCAATGCGGAAGCTTTCTAAGGGGAGGTCACTAACGTTTGGTCATGACCCTCGGCTTCATCTGCAGTTCATCCACCAACCCCGCAGAGTGGCGGATTGTTATTTCTCTCTATTTGACTTCATCCAAAGCCTAATAATAATGATAAAGGTTTAAAATCAAGTGGATCTGACGTACTGTATTCAGTCTGTGGACTGTATCACAAGCACCCAGATTCGAGGTAATAAAAAAAATTCTATATCGGTTCAGGCAGTAATCCGAGATTTCAGCTAAAGCGAAACCACGAAACTATCGTTGTGGGTCATTTGATCATAAACTCGTCGTTGAAGTTTAATTGTGGTATAAGGTTGGACAGAATTAAGTTACGATTCCCTTTGGCCAGGCGGGCGAAGCCGCGGGTGACAAATCCTATTAATATTATAAAGGCGAAAGTTTGTAAGTATGGATGTATGGATGTTTGTTACTCTTTCACGAAAAAACTACTGGACGGATTTGGATAAAACTTTACAGCAATATAGGTTATACATCAGAATAACACATAGGGTACTTTTTACTGGGAAAACTTCTCACTCCCACGGGATACCGACTTCCACGCGGACGAAGTCGCGGGCGTCCACTAGTAGCTGATAAACATAAACGTTATAAAGCTTCGACGAAGGGCGGCTCTTGAGCCATGTCACAATTCATTATCTCCAGTCAAAGGTCACTCACTTTACATGTGATGTCGTCGCGTCTGTTAGTCAGCCGCTTTCTTTGTTTGTGCATCAGCGAATATGTGCGCTCGTCACTACATAGCTACTTTTATTTACATTATTTTTATTACAATTATCAAAGTATCGAGTAGAACGATATTTTTGGAGATAAACGGTCCAACACGTGAGGAGGTCAGTGTTATCATTTTTTATATAAATATACCTATGTCTTTCTATAGGCTGTTCATTAACGGGTTTCTTTAGTGCGTCATTCTTAGAACAATTTCATCCAACAATGTAAATTATTTTTATTTTATACTATTATAAAGTTGATAGTAATTAAAACTTATCAATTATGTCAACTTCTTTAATACCCTTAATGAAAATTAAAAAAAAAAATCTACCTACTTTGACCCTGGCACTCTGAGATGGGACTCGAACCCATGACCTTTCGCAATCCGGGCGCCTGCTCTGACCACTGATTTTTCAATAAGAATATATTTCTGTATAGCATTGTCGATGCAAATTTGATCAAATATAATAACTTATCTAATATTAAAAAACTCTATAAACTGTCAACTATCATATAGTAAATGAATCGTAATAAGTATTTGCCTTTAAAATGTGTTTCCAGTTATCATTTTTGAAAAAGTATGGCTACCTGCTGGAGCCTACGGGAGATGTGGACTTCGCTTATACGTCCCAATCTGTTTCGGAAGCAGTCCGCAAGATGCAAGCCTTCGCCGGCCTCCCGCCAACAGGAGAATTAGATTTCGCGACTAAACAGGTCAGATTAATCCATAAACCTAAGATTTATTCCAGTAGTGTCGAAACCAATTCAATAAAATAAAATCTTTTCCTTTATAATATCAGTATAGATTATTTTTCCACGTTGAAAAAAATCATCATTAAAAAAAGGTCCCAAAAAAGTTAAAATTTTGCCAACGTCAGGGAATGTAAACCACCTAATACTTACAGCTGTTCAAGAAAAAGAGATGTGGAGTAAAAGATATAGACAACAGCGGAAAAACAAGAAATCGCAGATACATATTGCAAGAGGGATGGGGGAAAAGAACCATCACCTACAGGTACACATAGAGTAACACCAATAAGATACAAAAAAATAACATTATGACAACTGTCTGTGTTGACCGAATGATATTACAACATGTCCATCCGTATCCAACCACAGGGTGATCAATGGCTCCAGTACTCTACCCAAACACAGAGTAGAAGCGCTGATGGCGGAAGGATTTGCTGTATGGGCGCCTCACGGAGGTTTACGATTTAATTATGTACAAGACGGGCCTGCTAATATACAGATATCCTTTGTCAAGGAGGATCACGGTGATGGGTGAGTAGTATTACTAATATGATAGAAGATATCTAAACTAGTGTACGATATAAAAAAGTTAGAGCCTTTCTGGTGATGGGAACTGGAAAAGACTAAAGGGAAATGGTTTACATCGTGTCTAGACTCTAAGTACTCGTAGCGAAGTCCATAATTGTTCATATGTATAGTAGGCGCAGAAATTTTATAAGTGCGTTGCAGGCTGGTCAGCACCATCTTTAATCTGAGGTAATTGATAATGTTTGTTTTGCCATTGAGTGCAGTGGTGATGTTAGCGCCATGAAACATATGATTCAGAAGATCGTGAGCTTGCACATTAATAACTGATAACAGAGTTTCCTTCTAATGAAGTAAGACCATATTAGTTAATAGTAATTTGTAAAAAAAATGATTTATCTATTTATAATTTTCCCGATCAAAAAGAATGATCCTCCGCTAATTGTACACTGATGGATATTTTGTTATTTAGGTTTCCGTTTGACGGACCTGGTCGTGTAGTTGCACATGCCTTCCCGCCTCCACACGGAGCGATGCATTTTGACGATGATGAGCTATGGGGCGAAGATATCGGTGATCAAGATGACGTCACTGACTTCTTCGCAGTGGCAGTACACGAGATCGGCCACGCGCTCGGCCTCTCGCACTCTAACGACAGGTCATCCGTCATGTACCCCTACTACCAAGTGCCGGTTGAGAAGCTTCACCTCGACGATATACTGGGGATGCAGGAACTATATTGTAAGATAATCTGAGTCTCATTTCTAAACTGGATCATTGATTACGGTATACTTGAAGGTTTTATTAGCTTCTGTACACTTTTGATATTAAGTAAAATATTTCTTTATTGTTGATAGTACTTGATCATGTATAATTTCTGACAGTAAAGGATGAAATAATAGAAGCGCCTGCAGCTCCGGTGACGGAAAGTTTGGCAGTTGGCGATTCATCCCAGGTGCCGCGCTTCACGAAAGCCGACAGCGAGGAGCTTGACGAGAATGAAATACCGGACCTCTGCTACACGAACTACGATACTATACAGGCCATACAGGGCAAGCTTTTCGTCTTCGAGGAAGAGGTAATAATCTGATAAACATTCAGCGTCGAATTTTCCTGAAATACGTATTTGATAATTTATAACAAGGAGTTCTTATATTTATTTGCAAACTTCTAGCATCATAATTTGCGGCAGTCTCATTTTTTTTATTATAATGGTAACCTTGATTGAGGTAATCTAGCCTTAGGACATATATAAGATCTTCGGTGGGACGAGTTTGCCTAGAAGAAACTTATACACTCTTGCCTTAAATAGGTCTGGATTATATTCACTCGGGAATACAAAGTTCCACCGCATAAATTCAGGATATGGGGAAGAAAGTTCTAGTTTTAGATCTTTTCTGTTATTATGAGTCACTGACTTTTAAACGTGAAAAAGTAATGACTTTACGTGCCTTCCGAAGCACGGAGGGCCTTGAGGTAGTAATATATTTTTGGTCACCGGTCCTTTGGTGATCGGCCCTTATGAAAATTGCTTAACATCTGTAGTGCCGGCTAAAATAGTAACTACGAATCTTTCATGCATTATTTCTAATAGATTTCAAATATTTACCTAACCTCATTACCTAACCTCAGGTAATTCATAATTCGCCTAAAGATGTTAAAACGTTATCACCTTGACGTCGACTGATATTTATATTAAAGGTATATGCTTCTTTTTAAACTACTTGATCTATAATTGCTATAATAATCGGAAATTATTTTCATATTCGACACGACAGTGGATGTGGGTGATCAAAAACAAAGTAATCCAAGAAGGATATCCAAGAAAATTCCACGAAGTTTTTAAAGGACTCCCTGAAAGAATCAATATTATTAAAACTATATATGAAAAACAGAATGGGAATATAGTTATATTTTCAGGTAATTTATCCATATAACGTAATAAACATAAAGTTTTACATTTCATTATAACAACCTTCGTTTGGTGAAAGATTATTACCTCGAGCTCCTCCGTACTTCGCAAGGCATGTTAAGCCGTTAGCCCCGGCTGCATTTGCAGTCGTTAATACCCCCAACCCGCGTTGGGCCAGCGTGGAGGGTCATGGCCCATCCTCCTTAACCACCCTTAAGGAAAGCCTGAGCCTCTGCAGTGGGACGTAAAAGGGCTGGTGATGATGATTCCAATTTTGGAGCATATAACACCAGGCGGTTGCACGCTTGACTTCCAACGAGCAATTTGGACTCAAGCGTATTGACTACAAATTTAAAATTAATTGTCTTTTTATGTAGCACTATTTGCTGTCAGTAGGTATAAAGTACTTCCTGTACCTACTGTTACTTAAGTTAAACACGCATTCACAGGTAAAAGATACTGGGAGTTTGATGCCACATTCCACTTAGTGAAAGTAGGAAGGCTAACAGACTACGGCATACCGCGCAGAGTACCCGAACTGACCACCGTGTTCCTATCCAACTACAACAATAAGACGTACTTGATCGAGTACGAGTGGTTCTGGCGTTTCGATGAAGCCGCAGGCAAAATGGACGATGGATATCCTAAGGAGATGTCGGCCTGGCGACAAGTGCCCTATCCCGTCGATGCAGCTATAATTTGGAAAGGAGGTAAAAAATAAATTTATTTTTCAATTCCTTTTTTTAGATACATTGCATTTATATCCATAAAAAATAAAAAGGTTGTCTATATCCCTATTGGAGGGCTAACCTCTTTGAAAACACCCTTCCTAAGTGCCGATAAGCTGAGTAGCTCTGAACACAACGTTCTACAGTGCGGCCGGTCAAAGCTTTTGATTTTAAGGAAACTTACTGACACTGGTTATAGAATAGCAAATTAAATTATTTATAGAGGCGCCCCTTGATTTACAGTTTAAAAATTATTTTACCGACCGAATCCAAAACGATTTATATAAACTACTTTGAAAGTTAATGTGTCAAATGACAAAAATATATCTAATAGTCAGTTGCACAAACGTCCATTAAAACACTCATTAGTTTATAGCGACATTACCTAAATTCATTAGAGCCTAAAGACGCCATTAAACCGTTTGTGCAACTCACTGTAAGAGCTCTTGACAAAAATGTGTAATAGCTTTCTAAAGCTTCAAATTTCAGTATGCTAAAGTATAAACAACACTCGGTACTCAGTGCGGAGGTCAGGTCCTGGTGGTGGCGGTGCGATCCGTTTATATCACCCAGTACATAATAAATAAAATAAGAATAAAAAGCGGCGTTATTACACGGCTGCACGTTAGGCTACCACAATATGTCATATATTCTCAATTCATACTGAACTCCACCAACAATGCGTTAAAGTTAAAAATCAAATGGAGAACAATTTGACAGTTTTGTAAAGCCCAAAGCCCGAACTGTACATTAGAGCTACATTGTCTATCATTAATAGGTACGATAAACATGACCTTTCGAGTATGAATATATTTTTTATTTACAGACACATATTTCTTTCGCGGCCCGCGATTCTGGCGGTTCGACAACACGCTGATACAGGCGCACCATTACTACCCAGTGCCTACGGCTCAAGTTTGGTTCCCCTGCGGTAATGCGCCCGATATGGACCGTTACTTCACCAACGACGAGCCATAAACTTACATCAGGGTGCTATAATGAATAGAGCCTCGATTTTGATAATGTTAATGTGTTAATGGCATCTAAATAAATGGTTATGGCGTTTTAAATTGGTCGCATTATAATATTGTATTATCTATCAGGGCATGCGATCTATATTGAGTTTGTGATCGAAATTTAATCGAATTTGTCGCTTACTCATAGTTAACGTAAATTAACGATTATTGCAAGTGTCTGCAAGAAAATGATGTATGATGTAAAACCAGCCCGGTGATGATAAGCTTTTGTAAATCGCGCCATCTGTTCAGTAGTAGTAGTAGTTTCGTCTATGGGACAGGCGAAGGAACTAAGCCATACAGCCAAATCTTGGGGCCATCCTGTTCAACCGTTACGTTATGGATATGCGTGTTCTTCTTCTTTTTAATTAATGGCGTTGCCATTGTAGATTTCGCCAGAATCCAATGTTTCGCTCAAATTACTAACATATTTTAGTATTTTATAAACTTTGCTTTGTGTATGTTGGTAGTGAAAGCCCAAGATAAAATTTAGAATTTTGTTGAAATTATATTTTACCTACCTGAACGGGATTTACATAACCAAAGAGTAGTATAATATATACATAACTTAAGTATCACTAATGTTTTTGTTAGTGGTCAAATTTGATAACACAGGAAGTAAGTTTTGAGGTCACTATTTGACGATTAAGTATCACTAATGTTTTTGTTAGTGGTCAAATTTGATAACACAGGAAGTAAGTTTTGAGGTCACTATTTGACAATCGTTATCTACATAAACTTTGTCGAGCCTGAACGACTAGGCGTTAATTTATATTAGTACAGTTTGGCGTCTCGATTAATCAACGATGACGTCACATAGATATTGTTGAACTTATTCTGAAGTTGAAATGCCATTATAACGTTATAATTGAGCTGTTAGCCCATTGCCCTTGAAGTGTTTTCCCCAGGGGCAATACATATTCAAGTATGACAACCATACTATTTTTACACCTCTAATAGAAAATAAAGCTATGCTAAAATATGTGACATCATCATAAATTGTTATAGAAACTTGATATTACGCCCTACAACAGACATCCCTCCTCCTCCCCGTGCGCCGCTAGGTTTTAAATGGGCTTAAATCGCAGTGCAGTTTAAGCCTAACGCCCAATTTGTTCGAAGTTAAAATATCCACGACTGAAATCCTAAACATTCCCACAGTAAGAAACTTTTTATAACGAAAGAAAACTATTATTTCATTAAAAATATATCACTTTATTTCAAGTTATAATAACAGAAGTGGAGAAAACATTTATATTCTTAATGAACTCCTCACGGAATGTCGATTAGTGAATATTTATCCCGGTTAAGTAAAAAATAATACTGAGTGATTGAAAAAAAAAACAATAAACAATTATTTTATTTACTTATTTGCGACAACACTATACATGAATAAAGTTAGTATATGTATAATTCAGTTCTAGTTATTGAATCCAATTTGTACTCTAAAACGTTCAACAAGGACAAGGAGATAGTCATTTAATTCGTGCGAGCACCAAACATATTTTTTAAATATAGCGAATATAAATCGTTCGAAATTATCTATTCTGTACATAAAAAAAAATAGTAAAAGTGCGATGCTAAGCGGTGTGGGAGAAACAAATACACCAATGAGATCGCTCCATTGCATTTACCGCGGATCATTAAATATCCTTATTGGTGGATTTTTTTCTCAGGCACAGTTCAGGTACCTCGCACTGCCCTGTAAATACATCGTAAGAGTATTCATGCTTTCCAGTCAGCCAATTGGATAACAAATCGAAATCACCACACACGTCAAATATAATCTTTAAGCAAAGGTGTTCTTATTGTGATGTCATTTAAATAGACGGGAGATTTTTAAATTTAGCTTAATGTTCTTTTTAAATTGAGACAAAGAATTTATTTGTGCTAAATTACTAGAACATTCAGCTGGCAAGATCTCAGAGGCTGATTAATTATGATATATTTAGTTCGATAACGAACTCGTAATTTTCTCGTTTACATGTTGATATTTTTATTATTTAGCCTTTGGAGCTTCGGTATTCATCTGAGTTTGTAGTAATAGTCCTCCGGCTGCGGTTATGGTCCCAAGCAAAGATGGCTGGGGTTATGATCTGGGTGTCGTGATCGTGGTTTGGGGAGCTATGCTAATGCTCTGGAGGGTGTGGTAATATTTAGCTGCAGCAGGAGGCGGGGTTGGGGTCGCGTCCGGATCGCTTAGTGATGTTGAGGCGAGTGAACTCCTCCGCGACTGTCGGGTGAATGCCTATAGTGTTCATCAACTGTTCCATAGTGATGCCGCATCTAGAACAAAAACATAAACTTGACCAAGTGACGACAATATCTCATATACTTTAAGACAACATCCCAATTATTATATTGCTCGGAGCCCACATTAATTAGATGTGTTATAGCACCAGACTCGAGACAATATAAAGTCAATTTTTTCTTATAATTTTATTTCTCTATGGATATATTAAAGGACCTCGAGGGCTCAGTGATTATCGCGTTACCCCTGCAATTTTAGCAAAAGCTAGTTATAGGGTGGGACCACATGCTACCACATTTCAGAACGCATCCTAAACCGTTGTGATCACCAGGTTATGGTCCGTTCTCTCTACTGAATTCGATTCCATTCGTAGGGGAGGCCTGTGCCCTAGAGGAAATTATTAAAAAAAATTGGTGAAGTTCTAATAGAAGGCTTCCCAGCGATTTGTTTAATAAAAGTATCTCACTTGACTGCGGCGGCGAAGCCCTGTATGACCTCGCCGGCGACCGGGCCCACGAAGTGAAGTCCGAGCACCTTTTGCGGAGGCTCGCGCGCCGCCACCGCCTTCAGGTAGCAGTTTTTGATGTTCCGCTGCGGGATGAAGAACTCGGTCGGCTTGTAGTACGCGTGATACACCTCCACGTTATCTGCGCCGTACCTGCGAGAAAACTGATATAAGTCTTCCGATTCTACCTCGCGTGCAGTACTGGAATGTTAAGATTTTTTGTAACGTTAAAGATATTTTTTTCTTATATTAACATGACATAAACATGTATAATGTGCCATCATTGCTACGTACTACTCGTGCGTATTAACATGACACAATTTGACGCCATTTCTCCGAAAACGAAATTTCATCAATTTTCAAAATGCTAATACTATATAAATTTTATATGAATTGATAATGGAACGGAGGTAAAATTATAAATAGAATAGGACCTCGGGTGTTATGTTAATTCGTACGAGTATTGCTACGGGGCATCATCGTAGAAGCGATCCCGCTACGGCAACGGTGTGTGCTACGCTCATAGTGCCGTAGCAGTGGATGGTACAGTAAACCAAATTAATATTTAGTTTCGGACTTCACATACGCGATAGAACCGCTAAACTACCAATTCCAATGATAACCAAACGTTAATTAATAAAATGTATAATTAGTCTTGTTTTGATAATCATAAGATATCCAATACAACGCATTAAATTTAAATCTCAGCCACACTCAACGAGGGTCAAATTATAAAGATAACCTTGTAACCAAATTTTATACGTCAATGTGCAAATATCTTTAGTCTTCGGCATAGTGACATCGATCAGTAACATTGTAACAAGTACGAATTAACAATGAACTTTGAGGTTCAATTCTTTTTGTCCTTGAACAAAATTGCTGAAAATTTCGAAGCGTTCTTATAGTTTTATTAAAATCGTATGTATTTTGTTAGTGTAATTTACCTTTTGGTGGCGTAGAGGCGGTGGTGTTCTGCGATTGCTATTGTTAAGCAACTTTCGCAAGGGTCGGTCACGGGATGGGTGACCAAAAAAATATTAGCTGTTCCGTGCTTCGGAAGGCACGTTAAGCCGTTGGCCCTCAACCATCAATAAGGAATACACACCTCTCGATGGCCCTCTCCTCGCTCATGCCGACGCATCCGTACTCGAGGGGCGTGAACACTGTGGTGGCGACGTTCTCGTAGTCCATCTGCTGCGCGGCGGCGGCGAACATGCGGCGCGCGAGCAGGCGGCCCGCGTGGATCGCGACCGGCGTCAGCTCGGGCCGCCCCTCGAGCACGTCGCCCACCGCGTATATGTGCGGCACGTTCGTCTGCTCCGTCTCCGCCACTATCTTGCCGTTCTCGGACAGCGTCTGCGGAGCGACACCAACGATAACTATGCAGCTGCAGCGCGAGCCGATACTGATCGGAGCTGATCACACGTCGATAGGTATGTTTAATGACGCGACAATTAGGAAAAGATATTGTATTACATTTTATTTAGAACAAATGTGTTAATATTAAAAAAAACATTAATTCCCGAAATCAAACCAGATGTCGCTACTTCCGGTTTTCTTTCATGTGTAAATGTAAATTATTATTCAAAACACAATAAACAACTCATATTCTATTTATACTTTTTCTAAGTTTCGAACTTATAAATTTTCAGTTTTTTAATATGTTAGTTAAAAGGAACGGAAATGACTGTCTTTGATACATACGTTTCCTGCAAAAATCAACTTTTGCTAGAGTCACCATCAAGTTAATGCTTTCTTTTTTTTTTATTATTCTTTCTTGTTTTTATTAAAAATTAATCCGCTTATAATCGAAGGATAAGTCAAATACTGTGTTTCTAACTAAATCAAATCTATTACTCAAACTGCGCTCAGAAATATTATATTAAAGAAACTACATTGGCAATTTATCTTGTTACACTTACGTTAACTCCTGCGGCTTCCAAATTCAGAGATTTGGTGAGAGCATACCGGCCTGTCGCCATCAGAACTGTGTCGAATACATCCTCGAACCTAAAACCAACAAACAAACGCATGTAAACTTTAATAATTAAATAATAAAACATATATAGCCTACGATGATGACGTGATGTGATTCAAAGTAAAACATTTCTACCACTTACTGTTCCTTGGTCTCTGTATTTAACCAGGACGCCTTGAGCTGTCCCGATGTTAGTTTCTCGACTCCCAGAGGGACACACCGGTGATGGAACTTGACACCTCGCTCCTCCATCTCGTTGGTGACAGTGCGCGCCATCTGTTGGTCGAACCCGCGCAGAGGCACAGAACGGACCAGCACCGTCGCCGGATACCCAAGCGAATTCAAAAATCCAGCGCATTCTAACCCAATGTCTGAATTATGGTTAAGGAATCAAATATCTATTTTATCCTATATTGTACGTAGGGTTGCCAATCCTATTATAATATATAGTCTATTGGAACGCTGGTAAGATATTTTTTTTCTTTCGAGTTTTAATTAACAATCAGTGATAATCGCTATAAGCAAATGTGTTGTAGGTTTAGTGGGTTATGAAGTGTGTTTTTCAGTAAGGACATCCTTCTTTTTGAGTCGCTTGTTGTAACTCCAAGTTATAAGCGGTTTTGCTAGTTTATTCGGGTGTGTTTTCAGTCTGACTTTATGTCTATTTCTTCCTTCACTGTAGTTATTACCAGATATGCATGGATTTCGTTATTAGTTATATACCATGGCACATCAATAATTAACTAAGATTTTTTTGATATTTTATGGGTAATTTAAAATGCTTGTCTGTAAACAAGAAATATACACACAACTCCTATTGTACCTATGCAAGAGGTAAAATCGTAATTTATTTATTCTACATACCAATTACCATATAATAACAAATTAACTAGATTGTAATAACTTGCATTATTTTATTATACAGCTATTTATATATTTTCCGCTAGTTATAGGGAAATAACTCCCGTTAAAAATAAATCATAGTTCATAGTTTTAAAAATCATAAATACGTATAGCCCACGCGGGCGGGTAGATATTTATAAAATATGATTAAAATACTTACAGCATAATTTAATACCTTATCAACGCTATTAAAATGAGTGTCATTATTAAAATGAGATAGATATAGAAATATATAAGTTCATTAAAAGTGTTGCATAGACTCGGCTGCAAAGTAACTGACATATTTGTAAATTTTTAAATGTCCATTTTTTTTATTTTTTGTTAATTCATGTTTTGGTGTCAGAACTCAGAAGTATGATTAAATTTTCTCATTTTTAATTACAAATTATTCGGCCGTTATATCATTCTACAAACCAGTTAAAAGTTAGTCATTTTTGTGTAAGCACTTTTTTAACGTCACACTGGAACATACATTTATTATTAGGCATCCATTTCTCATTGTATATTTTGCAATACCTTTTGTCCTGATGTCAAAGTAAACCTACCATCCAAAGGATTTTTGGAAAATATCGTTACAAGCGACCCCCGTACTAGCTTCGAAATTGCTATTCCATCCATATTTCTATGTATACGTACAGATTTTGAACGTCAAAAGCCCGAGATGAAAACGAAATCGATTTTTTTAACCTATCCACAAACAAATTAGGATTTTAACTTGATTTCATCGATTGATCAGATTTGTATAAACGGTTAGAAAAATAATATAAATTCTATGATTTTCAAGAATTGTACGATGGTTTATTATCATCCTAAATCATAACGCTTTCCAAAGGATACATCCAGCGCCGACTACGAGCGTCTTCCCCGGCGGGTGGCTAAGACTGAACACGTCATCGCTGCTGATGCAGTACTCCACCGCGCCCGGTATGTCGGGGTAGTGGGGCCGCCCGCCCACCGCTATCACTATGTTCCTCGCGGTCAACTCTTTCTTTGAGCCATTCTTTAAAGTAGCGATTAATGTATGCGGGTCCTTAAACTCTCCTAAGCCGTTAATGTATTCGATTTTTTTATCTCTCAAATCCACCCTTGTCACCCAATTAACTGACTTGATGTGGTTTTGTACCGATTGCGTGAGAGCTGCCCAGTCGATTTTTATATTCTCCAACTGAGGCACTTGCCAGCCGTATGACACCGCTTCCTGAAATTCGATAAGTCAATTTATGATAGTAATTATGGACAGTATTAAATGCAAACATTATTTTTCATTGCTGTCTTCAATTATAACAGCTATGAAATAAAAGTTTACAATACTACTGAAATGTCCTTGGATTATTCTTGTACGGAAATTAAAAAAGATAAATTATTTAGATTCAGTATCTTAAGTGTAATTTATTATAATAATGATGGTCTTAATATATCACCTTTACACAATACCTTTGTATCTACAAAACACAAAATATAGTAAGTAATTGGTTCCTCATTTTCACACTGTTGAATTTATTGAATATGAGTGTGTGAAATGAACAATGTTTCATTTCAAAGTTCCCACGGAAACATAACGGGTTGGACTCCGCGAAGCATGACTTGATAGTTCTATTATACTTATATAGTATATATAAATTCTTTTTCATAATAGAAGTCATTGCATAATCATATTTATGTAGGTAACTGTTAAAAAGTGTATCGCTATTGAGAAAAAATATTTAGTCTCCTTAAGCGAACGAGATAATGTTTTACAAATATCGAACACGAGACCGTATCGGTACACGATAAGCGGTAACGTCATCACATCACCGACACAAATTACCAATTAGAATACAAAAATTTCACGGTCACGTGTGTCTTACGTTTTAATATTGAACAGAACGGCTATGACTTGCATTATATTTTAGTTCAGTCATTAAGTGTAAGATAACGCAGTTCGTACTGTAGCAAGATTACCTAAAGAACGGCTAGACGGGAGTGACGAAACTCCACAAAAGGTAATCTGATGGATAAGATATCTTCAACTCATCGACACCAATTCTATTTAAATGTAAGCGTGAACTATTACCTTAATTATTCATTCCGTGCTGTCACGCAACAGAAAACATAATTATAATCTAGTAACACCCCTAATAGGGCAATTTGGGAATTAATTAGGTCAACACTAATTCTACTGCCTTTCGTAGACAGTTCCTTCCAATAGTGTGGTAGCATATTTATTTTATAATGATGGCAACCAGAAGTCAAATTGTGAAAATTATTTTATTTACCATATCTTATTTCAGTATTTTTAGACCTTCCCGAGACCACTGTACTGAAAACTAAGTAACTTTATTTAACAAATAGATTATTTATTGAAAATTTACAAAAACCAAAATAGTAATTTTCTTATCTCTTACCTTGAAACTAATTAAAAATCTACTTTAGTCATGTTAATAGCACACACCTTTAACCAGATAATCAATATTATCATACTTAGTTTGCAATTACACTTTAGAAGAGAGGACGTTAAACCAAAATAATGTCCACGTCACTGCGTCCCGCATTAAAATCGACAAGGACAATGAATTGCGTGTTAATATTGTTTTTACCCGACTGCGCGACGCAAAGGAGGGTATTGTGTTTATCAGTCTATGTATGTATATTTGTTTCTATGTGGCGTTCTAGAGACCAAATGCATAGGCCGATTTCCATGATTCTTACGTCAATCGATTCGTCTTAACCTTGCGAGTGTCACTAAAGACATGACAGTAATTTAAATTCACCACACCGACAACCAGACGCCATATTGTCAAAATGAAAAAAAAAATCGATGAACTATGTCAAGTGGGGTGTCGTTGAACAGGTATTTTAAAATCATCTTTAGGTTCCTTTTATCATTTTTCATTTTAAATAATAGTTTAGGTTATATAACGATTTAAGTTTTTATTTAAAGTATAAACGATATACAATAAAAAAAAACAACAGTGAAAAGCATTAAAAACAAATATTTTCGGTAAAAAGAAAACTTTTATTCATCGCTAAGTCGCCGAGTAAAACTAAGTTTACCACCAAGCTCGATATATGAACTCGATAGATAACTAAAATGTATAAAATAAAAATAAATAATTTAAAGAAAAACAATCACCTGACTGCGTAATAACTAATTTAAAAAAAAACATGAAAAAATTTACTTTAATAAAAACTAATAAGAAAGAAACAAGTAGTAGTAGCCCAGTAGTTTAGAATTCTGTTCAGGTTTCAGGTTTTGAAGTAATACTAAATAACTAGGCGAAGGTTTTCTGTAGGTTTATTAATTAAATAATTGAATAAGTCGCTTCTAAGATAAGTATTATTTATCACTTTTTCAAGTTTGTTGTTATTGATTCTTTGTGAAACGTCGAAATTCCTCCATACGGATTTGAATGAATACAAAATACAGTATCTTTTGTTTTGTCGCTGATATAAACATGTCATCTAAATTTCATATTTCGTTTTTTTTTATAAAAACATAAATACCAATTCGATTTCAATAAAATATATATGAAACCACATCGGGCTCATAAAATGTCTTATAAAAAAGTCAAGAAAATCGGTTCATAACGACGAAGTTTATTTTATTTTATTCTTATTGGGGAGCCTGAAGCATAATTCAGCAATATGATTACATGTTTAATACTAATTTTTAATTATAAGCTTCCGCACATATGCAAACAATTTGTTGAAATTAATATTGTACAAGTAAAATTTACAAAAGCTGGTAAAATCTGTATGCAGATATAACTATCAACTGTAAACACACTTAGACTTTCCAAGCTTCAGACTTCAAAAAACCAGAGGATCATTTCTGGGTAAATGTATTGCTATGATCAATAAAGTTCCACAAAATGTAATTGACCTACCCATAAATAAATTTCAAATTCATGTAAAGAATATACTTATGAGTAAAGGCTATTATAAGGTTGATGATTATTTTAAGGATCGCAATGCATGGAGTTGATAGCCTTCGCTTTGTTCTATAAAGACTAATTATATGTTCAACCTATGTCCTACAGACTTTGAAAGTTGTATTTATTATTGTGATAATACATATTATTTTGGTAATGACATGATTTATGTAAATGTCATTATCATTACTTATGATAAAAAGCTGGTAAGTTTCTTTCGCTTGTTCTTCTTGTCAGCTAAAAGACGTCCTGAACAATTGGTAGGGGAAAAAAAATTTTTTTGGACGATTCAAAAGTGCTTGTAATAGCCTACTTGAATAAAGATATTTTCATTTCATTTCAGACGTTTTCATAATAAGCTAAAGACATGTTCAGGGATGATTTCAACACAGACCTGTACCTTCAAGGTCAGAACTTAATAGAGTCTTAACAAACATAAAAAAGCATATATACGATCGAATTGAGAAATATTTTCTTTGTTGAAGTCTGTTAAAACGCGTTTACTGAACGCAAACGCAAAACGCAGAAAGCTGTGTTGCTTAGGACCATTGACTACAGATCATACTTCCTACGATTTTAATATGAGGATAATCATTTAAAAAGATAATTATGTACATAGGCACAACTTATTATTATTATATTTGTGAGGCCAACAAAAAACGTTGAGATAATACTTGGAAGTTTTCCTCGTAAAAAATTACACCAATGCGTCATTCTCCATGATAAACTGGGCATATAGAATTACGAAAAGGAGAAGGCAGCAAAAGGATTTTTTACCGGACTTTAATGGTACCTAGGTATATGAAGAGGCGTTTGACCTTCAAACTTTAAAGGCGTAGGAAACCGTATGGGGAATTGGGCAAACGTTTTTTTATATTGATTAGTTTGAAACAATGAACTTTTGTGACCGTTTCATCGCTCTTGCCAACCTAAAAGCGTGACAATGGTGACACGGAACTTTTAGTTTAAAATCTACTCGTATCGTATTTAGTTTTCTACAAAAAAAAATACCGGGATCATACATATAAGCAGTGCAAGCACAGATGTAGCTTTTGACTCTTTTTTTTTAGACATCCACTCTCTAATCATCCTGATTTAACACCAGATCCATGAATAAGGGTCTCAGCCTAGGCTAACTAATTTAATAATGTATTTAATTTCAAGCATGTAACATCCCTTTTTCGTTTCTAAACTAAAATTCATTTTAGAAAAAGATTTTTATATAATTAATAGAAAATGGAAATATTATATTACTATTTAATCGTTTAAAAAAGGGTTCTGTACAGAGTTGTGAGTTACTAAATACTACTTTACTATTACTACGTTTAATGTTTACGATTAAATGTTTTTTTCTTATCGATATAAACAATGTTATTTTATGTAGAATCTATCGTTTATGTATGCGTTTATAAAAGATAATTTACTGTCATGATACTTTTAAAATTGAAATTAATATATATTTAAATTGCTTCTAAACGATTGTCATACCGAGGTACTATGCGATTGATTTTCGACCACTATAATAGGGATGATGACTGGGTAAAAAAATGCAATTCTATTTAGTCCGTCAGTCAGATAATAGAAAAATATTAGATACATATTTTTTTTACTTCAATTTAACAAGAAATAGCTTAGATAACAGGCATTAAAGTTGAGGAGTGGGGGCTCGCTAGGTCACAGTTGAGTAGAAAACGTACTCTAACGTGACGTCATGCGAAATTTCAACTCAATGTAACGCCGTAATTTTATGATTACGAAAAAAAATAAAAAATACGTGTTTAATATTTTTTAACACTCTACCTGACGGACAAACAAACAAAAATTAGTCATCATCCCTATTACAGCAAGCAAGAAGCCGTCGCCTACTACAGACACTGGTGTCACTGAGCATTAAACAATTAGGTAATGAAATCTCGCGAATACGAGATCTCGGCTTTTTTTACGAGATTATTTTCTGTCGAAATGGGCGAGGTCTCGCGAGTTTAACGAGCATAAAAACGATTTATTCCAAGTAATTGGAGAGAGCTCGCGTTATTGATATTCATAAGCTCGCGAGATCTCGCTCAAGTCCCAATCTCGCGAGATTGCATTCCCTGTAAACAATACAATATATGAGGTTTTAACTATTATATTGAAATTATTTATGAAGATTTATATTTTAAAAAATTAAGAAAATGAACTGGTTCTTCATGTGACTTTATCTAACTGTTATTTTGGAAGAAGTATCAACACTTGATACTTCTTTCTACTTAGGTTTTTCACCTACCTATATTTCCCGACGTCGGAAAATATAGGTAACTATCAATCCTAACTTTTCATACAATCTAATATAATGCAACGCGAAAGTTTAAAAGTTTATACAACATTTTTTTTCTTTGTTTTTATCTGCAATCAGATGAATTTTTATAAGCAGATGTTTTCTAAGTTTTACTCAGTTTACCTTTACAGTACTCTTTCAAGGTGTTGGTAAATTTAATTGTTAGTTACCAGCCATGGTGCTTGAGATATGGATCGAAGGATAACCATTTTGCATCCATTGCAATATTTGGATATAAGTGTTACTAGTACTATCCCAGAGTTGGATACCCCAGAGCTATATATAGCGATAAATCTGGGTATTCCCACAGGTTATGCTCAACGTTCCAGTCCCCGCCCGACACAAAGCGGTTCCTAGCGTACATTGCCTCTATGATCGTATGTCAGGTGAACAGTAGACAGCAGAGACTATAATTGTGCCAATTATACGAATTGCAACCGCTATTGGGGTTGCTGAATTAGGTGGTGTTTTATTAACTTCTTAATTATAATCGCTGCAACAGCATGGGTCATACCGTCAGGATGGTGAGTGAAGTATGTGTTATAGTCCCAAAAGATAATATTTGTACAAGTAGTGGAATGTGATTCAGAAAAGAGAACAATATTCAAATTATGTTCTGTGATGAAGATTTCAACATAGCTTTTATTGGATGTAAGCCCATTAATTTTCCAAGTTGCAATGTTCAGAGCTGTCATTTTGTTAGCCTTTCCACATCTTAATTATAAGGCCCATCGTAGCGCTCATTTGTTGTATGATGAGATCAAATTCATCTTGCTCAATCAATACTGTTTCCAATTTATCTGTATACTTGGCACTCCTTGTAGTTGGCTGGGTGAGGGCCCTAGCATAAAGCACACAGTGCAGGCTGGGGCCGACCTGTTTTTGAACAATCAGAGGTTCTATGCTGAAGAGCACATTTGACACATCTATATGGACGAATGTAGTAGTTTTAAAAGTGTCCATATTGATGGAATCGTAGACACTGGACTACTGACTTTTTCTTTTTCGGATCCTCAATCACAATTTTTTGACGGTCTATGTTTGAATACTTTTAGCATCTTTACTATTAGGTCGGGGTAATATATTGACGAAAATATAATAATAATAATAATAAATACTCTTTATTGCACAAACCATATTAAAATTAGATAAACAAAATTAAAATTTTTCCAGTCGGTGAAGAGTATCTTCCTGGCATCATGTCTCCTCAAGCAATGGACAACGTTCGCGTTGTAACTTACGAAGACGATCGTTTAAAAAAAGAACTATTCTACGGCTATAGGCCTTTACCTTAAGATCATATTTCAGTATTCTGTTCACTGAAACGCGCGAATTATTTATCTGCAGAGCGAGTTTCTTCCGAGTGCGACATGGATTTCGGCGAAGTCGCTCTCGGATGATTTTGATGTTTGCAGACGTCCTCACAGAGCGTGGCTGACCACTCCTTTAGCGATCTTGCAGAGAAATTGTCTCTTTGTATCGTTGTATTGTGTAATAGACGAAGTTACGTCTTTCAGGAAAACTTTTCAGCTCGCGTAATCTGCATCCGTCTTTTTTCCCGCCTTAAATAGCGAAATAATAGTTGCACGTAATTGTTTCGTTCCCTCTATCACGAGAAAATGTAAACAAAACTATAAGTTAACATTCCAAATTAAAATCGGTAAAAAAAAATAACAACCAGTAACATTTTATTTTATTTTTGCCATAAAAGTTTGTCTCAAAACTTATGAAAAATTTAATTACTTCGTTTAAATTCCATCTGACAACACTGCTTGTACCGAGACATAATTTAGTTCTGATCTGAACAGCTTGTCTAGTAACAGATATAACATAGGAGTTTTTGTTGAGTATTAATATGAATGTTGCCACTCAATTTTTAATGAAAATTTTGGGATTAATAGAAAAAAAAAAAAGAAAAATATATTTTACACACTAATACAATATGACATATCAAACGACAGTACTTATGATACTCGGTGCTTGTTAGTACTCTATTCAGCCTATTTATTTGATTATGAGATGCTGAGGATTTCCTTCAAACAGGCCAAAGGCACTGAATGTTAAAAGGCATAGACTTCTTATATGTTTATTATATTTGATCAATTTTTCATTCACATTGCTATGCTGACAATTAATCTTAATGAAAAATTGTTATAAGTTTTTAAGTTCCTTTGAGGGAAATAACTATTCTATAATTGTAGGCACAGCATGTGTACATTATGTCAATATTTCAGGTGCACCCATACAACATCTCACTCTCGACTGAAGAAAAAGTGGTGTTTGGTGTAGACAAAGAGTTTCTCGAGTTTGTGATGCTACACGTGCGGGAGTTTCACATGTGACACTTTATAGTCTGCTTTCTGACTTTTAATTAAGACAGTTGACTTTAATATACCATAATTTCAGCAATTAAAGTTATTAAGTTAGCTGATGAAACTATAATACAACTTACGAATATATCTTGAATATCACTATGGAAGATTTTATCTAATAATAACTCTAATTTATAGATTTAGATAAGATACCTATTCAGTTACAGAACATGTGAAAACACTTGTTAATTTAAACTTTAAATAACATGTGAAATGAAATATTAGTAAATAAACTGTTAGGCTATGTTGATTCTACTAATATGGCTTGTAATTTAAATTAAGACTAAAAACACTACATTAGATCTAGTTATTTGATTTATAGAAATCAAAAAACATTTCTAAGCCTAAATACCAAGAAATAACACCAACAAAGAATAATTATATTTAAAAAATTAAAATCTACTAGCCCAGTAAAAGAATAATCCAAGGGTCTGGTTGGGTCAGGACAAATGTTTGAGGCTTCAGGATACTACTCAATTTCACTTACCAATGCCTATAAATCAATAACAGAATTTATACATCAAATAAAAAAATAAAAACTGTTATAATAACAAAAGAATCAAAATTTACTCACATGAATACTTTCTCCTAGTATAGCAGCCTGATGCATCAATTTCTTAGGTATGCATCCAACATTGACACAGGTGCCACCAAGACCCCATTTAGTGCCTTGTGGTGATGGAGTCACATAATCTAACACTGCCACTTTGGCTCCTTGGTTTACTGCTTCTTTTGCACATGCGAGTCCTCCAGACCCACCACCAATAACGGCCAGGTCATAATCAAAGTTTCCATCTAAAAGACACCATACCACACCATCAAACTACCCTAATATGTGTATAATACAAAACTTAACAATAGCATGTGAATATTGCTTTGTAAAATGCGACATTATGCTATAATGCAGTAAGAAGACATAATGACCAACAGCACATTGCCCCAGCTTGATGAATTACAACAATTTACTCTACCTTCAATGACACAGTCATTGGGAGCAACCAAGTTGGTTTTACGGCTACAACACATCCAGCTGCCTGGTGTGATCAAAAAAATTATAAAATATTATCCAATTTTTTACAAAATAACAATCATATTTAAATTATGCACAGGAACATAAATTAATACAATACTGTAGTAGAATTTAACACAAACATCATTTACATCCATTATAATCTAATAAGATACACAATAACAATATTATTATTTTCATTATGACTGAATCCAATTAAATGTACTGTCTATCAATCACAAGGTTAATGCCAATAGTTTGATGGTCTTTTAGGAGGGGCTCATAGATTTATTGTACACCAAATATGTAAACATAGGTTATGTCATGAAAATTTCAAGGATAACTAATGTAATAAAAGACTTACTGCTCCCGAGAGTTCGCCGCACAACTAATGAAATATTATCTTTTATTAATAGGGTTTTTACGAAATTTTTTATCTTTAGGACATTACTCAGTATTGTCATTTTGACAAAATGAAAATGACAGAGACAAGGGCAAAATTATCACGACACGCAGGCAAGGCAGCGAAACGGGTAGGGGTACGTATCAAAAGATTAATAATAAACGTCAAGACATTAGAAGAGTGTGCATTCACAATGAGAACAGTTGTAATCACAGGTGCTAACAGAGGTTTGGGTCTTGGGATGGTAAAATATTTAACCAGACAGGTCCAGACTGAAAAAATAATTGGAACATGCCGAAAACCGTCAGAGGTATGTTATTTATATTAAAGAACGACTTACCTATAGGTGCCATGTTTTCAAATGAATTTTCCAAAAATAATAACTGGATAATCACTAAGCACTAAATATATATAATTTTTGTGTCAAACTACACAACTTCACGTCTACACTGAACATCAGCGCTAATAAAATAGAATGCTTTTGATTTTATAGGGAGGGAGGAAAAGAAAGGAAATGTGTGAAAAAGACAGATAGCATGACATGACAGACAACTGTCAGTGTCAGAACAATGACGTCACCTTTTTACGTCTCGTTATTTCTAATGATGTTGCAATCACGATGACATCATTAAAAAATGTAAAATAATATGAAACGTAATACATATTATAAAAATACCCACGCATTTTTTTATTTTCTTTTACTTTGGATAGTAGTGGATATTATAGGTCATGAATTAAAAGTTTTTTCGTATAAACAAATTTTCTATGACCAGTGGCTTAAACCAAAAGTAAAAAATAAAATATCATTTTCAATACCCAAAGAGACCCCGCTGTCCTTAAATTATTCTCTAAGCTGCTTAGATTATTCGTCCGTCTGTCAGTCAACTCACTAAACTGTATCTCATTAACTGTAATAGCTAGTTGACATTGTCTGATGCCGCTAAAACAATAAATTAAAACTAAAAACAGAATAAATAAATATTTTAAATGTGGTATTTTGAGTTTTATTTTTAAAGATAATAGTACGGAACCCTTCCTGCGCGAGTCCTAGTCGCTTCTTTGAATTCGGGTGAAGAATTGACTGCCATGTTTTAATCGCCTGAGTTTTAACGAATTTTATTGAATTCGTAAATTTTAACAAAGAGGATTTTTGTTTTTCAAAGGAAAACTACTTATTCGGCGAATTTCTATTATATACTCATCTAGATTTCCGCCAGCGGCTTCGCCTACTTGATCTTGTATTATACATAAGAAACTTCCTTTTGAATCACCCTATCTATGAAAAAGGCCGCATCTAAATCCGTTGCATAGTTTTAAATATTTAAGCATACATATGGATATAGGGAATGAGAAAGCGACTTTGTTTTATATTATACTAGTGGACGCCCGCGACTTCGTCCGCGTGGAAGTCGGTATCCCGTGGGAGTGAGAAGTTTTCCCAGTAAAAAGTACCCTATGTGTTATTCTGATGTATAACCTATATTGCTGTAAAGTTTTATCCAAATCCGTCCAGTAGTTTTTTCGTGAAAGAGTAACAAACATCCATACATCCATACTTACAAACTTTCGCCTTTATAATATTAATAGGATAGGATAGGATAGGATAGTGATATTATTATTAGGTACCTATTAACGTGATGTTTTATTCTTATAGTACCTAAGCTATTATCTATCTAACAACGACTTCTTTGACGTTGAAAAATAATGTAACCATTGGCAATTCATGTTAAATGTATGTACATTACGGTGTCTTTTAGGTCTATCGGTCATGTTAGGTGCGGTGTGAGTAAAATATTTTTTTTACTTATTATTTTCAGGAACTAGAAAAAATAGCCCAGGAATCAAACAAACTTCAAATAATAAATTTAGGTAATTAAAAAAAAATCTTTATTCATATTTTTTTATTTATGTTCTTTTTTAAACAAAGAGCTCAAACGATGCCAGTGACAGTAAATGATTTCCTACTTATCTAACTACCTAGTAATTAATTAATCTAGGGAGGAGATCCCCCCCCCCCTTCTAAGTCAGTCGACCTCAATATCAATGAATTGATTTCATAAAATATATGTGTATTAAGATATGTAATGGTAAGATTGAGATGATGTTTATAATAGGAATTTTTGCTTTTAGATGTCACAGACTTTGGTAGTTATGACGATTTCACGTCCCAAATCGCCAAAGTAACCGGTAATGACGGTCTTAATTTGCTAATTAATAACGCTGGAGTCACTACGAAGTTTACTAAATTGAATTTAGTAAAAACAGAACAGCTTCTAGATAATCTCACCGTAAACACTATTGCCCCGATCATGTTGACGAAGGTATGTATATCTGTCTATCTACAATTACCATCAGCCTATTAGAATCCCCACTGCTGGGGAAGAGGCCTTACCTGTGAAGATGACACAGGTTCAACGGACCATAACCTATTATAAGATGGCAGCCTAGTGCTGATTAATGAGTGTTGTGTACTGTCATGATGCAACGGGAAGAAAGCACGAAGGATCTTGAGATAATAAATTTTACGATACGATCTTCTCCAAGGTGTTACCATCTCTGAGGTTCCAGGTTCGATTCCCAGTCGGGTCGACGTAGAAAATGGACTTTTTTATGTTCAAATTATTTATTTGCTTTAAATAGGATAACAGTGATACAATCTCGCGTTTGGGTGTTGTGGTACCTTCATTGTCTCAGATACTTTATAATACGGGGGCTTTAGCTACTCATCTTAGAATCTGAGCAACGTATGTGATGTTGTTAAATATTCATTATTTTTTAGTCAACCATCCCGCCTGATAATAAGCCTTAATCTCCATAATCGCAGATCGAACTCGGTAACTACTTTGCCACTGAGCTCTGACTCCAGTTTATAGATATTAAAAAGTAGCATGTGTTATGCAAAATAAAATGGGTTATACTAGATTATACAAAACTGACAAATTTCTCCACTTGATTTTAAATCTTAATACATTGAAGGTAGAGTTCTAAATCTCAATCCCAAAAATCTCCTAAATTACGCTTGTCTCAATGCAATGGCAATAAAGACAGCTGGTGTTTATAATAATTAAAAATTCACACGCATCTTAACTTTACATAATAAAACATCAACTAACTATCAAGGCTTTAATACATAAGTGCGACAATGTTCACTACCCACTGACCATCCAGGAATAATAAGCCCTTATATCATTCCTGGATGGGCAGTGGATAGTGGAAGTTCACTAAGATATAGCAACCATCTTGGCCTCGCTTTCTTCTTTCTCATTACTTGTAAATGTTTATAAAATTACTTATGTAGTGTGTGGTCAATAAACGTCTTTGTTTCTTTTCTTTCACTACCAGTCGCTCCTGCCACTGCTGAAACAGGCCGCCGAGGTGAACAGCAACATGCAAATGGGCTCGTCACGCGCTGCAGTCATCAACATGAGCTCCGTACTCGGCTCCATTGCACAGAACGATCAAGGCGGCTTCTACCCATACAGGTGTTCTAAGGTCATTATATCAAGCCTTCCTCAATCAGTTTGGTGAAGGACTCCTTCAAATTTCTCCACTTTTTCTATTTTGGGCTGCTTAAATCCAATTTTGTCCCGCCACTTCTTTGATGTCATCCTTCCCTCTCATTTGTGGTCTGCCAACTAGTTTATTTATATTCCCATGCATGGTCTCCATTCCAGTAGATCACCATGAATCTCACTTACGAGCTATAATAAGTATAATATAAAAATCTGTATATTCTGTTACCATGAAATACTGACACACGTATTATGTAATTCGGATATATTTGATTAATTAATTTCAATAAATAAATAATTTATCTTCATAAGAATACTTAATAACATTAAAGCGACAAGCCATATTTTTTTCAAATAAACATAGTGTCATTACATCGCCCGCTGTTCCACGTTGGGCGCCATCAACCAGTCTAAATCGAGTTTTATAGGTACCTAAAAGTTCCTCTGCGTATTATTATAACAAAAAAAGATATTGCTAATTATTAATATTAACCATCACCTCTAATATTTTAGTTGTTTGTGATTTTTTTAATTCTACAGTCTAGACTTGAATTCGACGACATAACTTCAATACGGTATTCAATTTTACGATATAAATATTTTAGTTTTAATAGTTTCTTTTTTAAAACGTCCGCAAAAAAATATTTGCGTTCGTGCTTGTATCACGAACTCAAATATATATTTTTTAAAGTTACAAAACTAAGTTTGAATTCCTTACTTTATACACCATTATTATAAAGGGTAAATGTATGCTGATAATATAACATAAGTGTTCATCCCTTTTAATATTTCAGGCAGCATTGAATGCAGCTACCAAATCTATGAGTATCGACCTAAAAAAGGTTAATATCCTGGTGGCATCTATGCACCCTGGCTGGGTACGCACAGATATGGGAGGAAAAAATGCTCCGCTCGACGTGGAGACAAGCGTCACTGGCATTTTCACCACCATCCAGCGGCTGGGCGAAACTGATTCCGGCAAGTTCCTGCAATATGATGGTACCGAGCTGCCATGGTAGCTGTCTTTCTTGAACAATACCACTGTTGCCTATATTTATGGTTCCTAATATAAATCCCAATTAAGTAAGAGAAAATCCAGATATATCATATGTAAAATTACTATTCGAAGAAAATAATGTGGATAGATTTCGTAATCTGATTGTAATTCTTATTTACATTATATTTCTTAAATCGCAAAGATTCACGGTATTGTTTTTCTTTTACCACCACAAATGATTACTAAACGTCCAAAAATATGACTGTTTCCACCTGTAAGTTTTATGTAAGAAGCATTTATTTGTAATAAAAGCATTTGTTCAAATAAAACTGGTTGTTTATTATAAAATCTTTTTTAGTCTCAACATCTCATACATTTAATATACATGAGGATGCCATAAAATTTACTCATGATAGTTATAAAGAACTGGGATAGAACCATTTTAAAAAGTAATACCTATAAAACACCACATGACAATTCTCAAAAATTTTATAACTATTGATATTTCAAACATACAATACAGCGTCAAATGTTTCATCATCCAAGTATCAAATGCTTGAGACTGTTTACGTATCGAACTTCGTCGACACTGCGGTGACGGGCGACACGAATAGGTACAATTCAATAAGGTTCTTTCAACCAAAACACTCACATAATTTTCCGAACACTCGATTGTTCAGAGACATACTTTGTTCAAAATTTCAGAGTCCAAATTAAGTAGTTAAAGGACTTTTAATAAAGTTATCTGAAAAACAAACATAGCACACCACACACATCGTGACAAGAGTATATCGACCCTATCCAGATCGAACCCGGAACCTCACGAGGCGACACATTGAAACCGCGTACGAGCCACTCGGCCATTAGGATGTCAATATCGGTTTAAAGATATTAATCGTATTTCTCATTATGACAATTGTCACTTACATGTATATTATAAAATTATCAAATAATGACCCGAAGTTACATAATTAACTACCACAAAAAATTGCGTTCTCGCTAAAGAAATGGCAGTGGTATAAGTTTTGAGATTTGATGTTATGTCGCCATTGCTGGATAATGACTTTTCTTAAAAATATTGAGCGAGTTCACATCTTTAACGTCTTTCAATATTGAAGTCATACAGTCGGTTTCTGAACTGAGTATTTAAAGATAATCACGTCTTAAACTGTACTTAAACAGTTTTAATTTTTTATAATCATAAATTGATAGCAGTTTGATAAAAATTAGAACGTTTTGACTTGTGAAAAGTAAAAAAACTCAAAAGTTATTGAGAATAATAATGGATTACTTAGAGGGTTATTAATTGATCATCATGCTAACTTTGATTTAAATTATTTTATCAAAGTTAGCATTAAATCACAATAAAAAAACGTCAGGGTAACGGGCTACCAGTACATTTTTGTATCGGTCCACGAAAAAGAAGTTAAGATCTTGTTCTTTCTATAAGGTAAGAAAGAATAAATGACAATACGATCATACCTTGCCAGCAACGAACTGGAACCTCCGAGGCACAGGTGGGTTTTCTATCGATTTTGATACTACTTTCGCCTACAAATATAAAATATAATGTAACATTCCATTGATTACTAAGTATCTCAGTGAGTACCTACTAATAATACTAAGTATTTAAATAGTCAAGAGATTTAGGAAATCTGCACTGTAACCATAGATTTACATATACAGATTGTATGAAGAGGTAAAATTTCTAACTGTCTTTGTTTGTAAGGGGTAAATATCAGAAATATTGATTATGAAAATTCTTTCAGCTACAAAAAGATATATGCAAACATTTGATATAAGTCATGCTATAATTTATGCGGACGCAGTAGCGGGAAAACAACTAGTTTTTGCATAATACTAACCACCAAACTGGCTGCATTTGGTTTTGTTATTACAAATCTCGGTCAAATCCATATATTATTCTTATAACACTTTAGTGCTAAAGTGAAAATCACAATAATAATTTGTAACTGCTGAATTATTGTAAATGGTTCGTAACTATAGTGTTTTACGTAAAAAATAAATTGATTTTTTAATAACTAATCTACTTCGATAGTTATTTAAAACATATTAAATTACAATAAAAGATTTTATAACAAACGTACAAAGGTGTTCAAATTGTTTTTGGAAATAATATTTTACGTTGACATCAGAGATGTCAAACCAAGAAATATAAACCTAGGACGAGATTTTAAATGAAAACGCGGTTGGCCACACACAACCAACAACCGTTTTTGATGTTTGGATCCGTCCAAGAAGTAATAAGTATTCTTTATTTATAAATTCTTGGATCCGCTCTTTAACCGCATGTGCGTATGACTTAGCTCGCCACATGGCTAAGGCCCGATCTAAATTATAACACTCAGAACAATAACTAAAACATTATAGCCTATGTCACCTGTGTATGATATGATATATGAGCGTCTCTTAGATGAAAGAATTTAGAAAATTGCTGCAGTAGGTAGCTTTGGAGTCTAATGAATGCAAAGTAGATGTTGCTAGATGTCCAGTATTTCAAGCATAGGTTCAAATATTCCGCCGGTACTGATTCTGTATCAATCGATATCGATCTCAAAAAAGGTGTTAAAGTATGTGGAATATAGACAGTGGGGTACCAAGGGTATTAGGTACCAAGGGGCTAGGCGGGGCAGTGCCCCAGGGCCCTCAAGCTCAGGGGGCGAATCTTTACCAGAAAATCTCAATCGAACTCAACTTTTGAAAATTTTTCCCATTTTCATAATAAATATGACAGGTGACAACTCGAGTTTAGTCATGGTAACTCAGTTTTGAGAAATTCCATAGTTATAAAAAGGGAATTCCCCTAAATTATTTGTGTGGGTTGACAGTGTTATTAATGTTTTTTCAATGCAGTTACTCATAAAGCGTTATTTTTTAATCCATTGTAAACACCGAAAGTGAGTCTTTAAACACGTGTTAAATAAAAATGTACTGAAATCCTTTACTGCACACGTGCTTAAAAATATTTTTTAATTTTTTTTGGCCAAACTCCAAAGAAATGAAAAAGAAATTGATGAAAATATCTCAAACTTTTATTAACCTATATATTTGTTTTATTTCCTCGCAAAAAGCATTGAAAAATGTTGTAAGAAACTTGAGCTTATTCTCGAATTCGAATAACTTGAGGTTATTCGAATTCGTGCCAATGAAAAACCTCGCTACGCTCGTGTTTTCAATTTAGCCCTTATTCGTAAAACCTTACTTTCCGCACTCGTATCTTAAATAACTATTATCAATTTGTCGGATATCAATATCTGCATATTATTATTTATCGATATGCGTATTTGTGATTCGCGATTGTGAACTTCGAGTCAAGACTTTTTTTTCGAGAATGGTTAAAAAGTTAATGTATCAGGAGTAAGTAAGCGTATGTCAATAAATTTTTTGTACTGGTCCATACAAAAGTTCAATGTTATTTGATTATAGAAAGCTACGTAAAGAAATCTATAGATTTCGGCTACTAACTCTATAACTCAAAATACCGTGAAAAATACAAGTCACATGCGGTAAGGGGCCGTCCATTAATTACGTGATCTTTTTTATCATTTTTTAAACCGTCAAATGTGGTAACACTGGCGGCGATAAAATGTTTGCCGGGGATTCCCCAACGACGTCTTGTATCATTACGTTTCGCTTTCCTTTTACTTGTAACGTTGTCAGTGAACAGTGAGTACCTACTTGAGTACAATCTTACATAAATATTGATAGATAGATAGATAAATTCTTTATTTGCATCATGCATACACAAAATTTTACGATTTGGATTTTACACAATATTAGAAGCAAAAACAGGACAATCAAACATTATGTGTACCACAGCGATGCAAATGGGCGAAAACTCAGTGTGTATTTACTCAAAGAGCAAAGCACTGATTTTCAGTTTTTACCCCAATTTGCAAGTGGTCGCACTGTAAATATTAAAAAAATTCAAGAACTCACACAAAGAAATTGATAAAAAAAACTACAATACTAACCAGACACTACAAAAATACTAATAAATACTTACTAACTAAAATATTTGATAAACGTATAAGATATATAGATTAATAGAATAAATAAATAGATAGTAATACCCATTATTAATTCGGTTCATTTGTCAAGATCATTCAGAGTCACAGAGTAATCGTTAATATTACCATTACTACCGCCATCAAGCGACTAATTGCCGGGAACTTGATTTTTTAGCAACCTAGATCTCAAATGCATTTTAAAAGTTCGTCTACATGTGATTAATCTTATAGGCGGAGGTATATTATTCCAGCATTTAGTCGCCTGATAACGGAAACTACCAGTGAAGCTCACAGTCTTGTGATGATGCATCATCAAGGGAGCCCGTATATATCGCTGGACACCGGAACCGTAGTGATGATGAAAAGTGGACTGCTTTAGTTTTGAATATAGATACTCCGGGTTTTTCGACTTCATTATATCGAACATAAGCATGGCAAGATGCAAACGCCTACGTGACTCCATATTTAACATATCCGCCTTGATTAGAAAAGGTGACACATGTGTTCGTGGGGGTATGTGAAAACAGAAGCGAGCACATGCATTCTGAACACGTTGTATAATTTTCCGGGTCCTATATAGCAACCGTGACCCATACACTAGATCACCGTAGTTCAGTTTGGATAAAATAAGTGATTCACAGAGTATAATTCGTGATTTTTCCGAGAGAAAATGTCGTATCCTATACAGAACCTTTAAACGGTAGAAACAGTTTCTAACGAGACCCAATACATGACTTTCAAAGCGCAACTGACTGTCAAAAACAATTCCCAGGTTCCTAGTTTCATTGACTGATTCAATATTTTTACCCAAGATCTTAACAACAGGAGGATTGGTTAGTATCTTATTAATCTGTTGTTTGGTGCCTAGAATCATAAACTTGGACTTAGAAGGATTTAATACGAGACAATTATTATTTGACCAAACTGCTATATTATTCAAATCTTCATTTAATTTGGAGACGGCTTCCATCATCCGAGCTGGATTCCCGGCTATATATAACTGCACATCATCGGCGTAGCAATGATGTTTACATTTTTTTATTGAGAAGGATAGATTAGCAGTGTATATTATAAACAAAAGAGGCCCAAGGATGGAACCCTGAGGTACACCACGTCTTACCACTCTAACCTCTGATGTGAGATAAGATCCACCTTCTTTACGCAAACGCACCACTTGAAACCGATTACCAAGGTAACTATCAAGCCATCTGACCGTGTGTGGATCAAAGCCATAATACGATAATTTGGAAAGGAGCAGCGGGATATTCACACAATCAAAAGCACGGGAGA